CTAGAAAAAGAACACAGAAAGCCCAGAGTTAATAGAAGAAAGGAAATAATAAAGATCAGAGTAGAAATAAATGAAATGGAGACTTAAGAAAGCAATAGGAAAAAAATCAGTGAAACCAAGATCTGTTTCTTTGAAAAGATCAACAAAATTGCTAAATCTTTAGCCAGACTCTTCAAGAAAAAAAAAGAGGACCCAGATAAAACCAGAAATGAAAGAAAAGTAACAACCAAGGTGACAGAAATATAAAGGATTATGAGGACTATTACAAAAAATTATATGCCAATGAATTGGACAATGTAGAAGAAATGGACAAATTCTTAGAAACATTTCTTCTAAAAATCAGGAATAAATAGAAAATCTGAACAGACCAATTTCTAATGACCAGATTGAACTGGTTATCAAAAAACTCCCAACAAAGTCCAGAACCAGATGGATTCACAGGTGAATTCCACCAAACATTTAAAGAAGAGTTAATACATATCTTCCTCAAACTACATCAAGAAATAGAAGAGGAGAGAAAGCTTCCAAATACATCCTGTAAGGCCAGCCTTACCTTCACACCAAAACCATACCAAGGCAGTACAAAAAAAAACTATAGGCCAATATCCCTGATGAACAAAGATACAAAAACCCTCAACAAAACATTAGAAAACCACATTCAGCATTACGTTAAAAGGATCATTCACCACAATCAAGTAGGATTTATTCCAGGGGTGCAAGGATGGTTCAGTATTCACAAATCAATCAAAGTAATACACCACATTAACAAAACAAAGGATAAGAATCTATGATCATTTCAGTTAGATGCACAGAATGCATCTGACCAAATTCAGCGTCCATTCGTGACAAAAATTCTTAGTAAGGTGTGTTTAGAAGGACCATACCTCAACATAGTAAAGGCCATATATGAAAAACCCACAGCTAACATCATACTCAATGGTGAAAAACTGAGAGCTTTTCCTCAAGATAAGGAACAAGACAAGGATGTCCATTCTTGCCACTTTTATCCAACATAGTACTAGAAGTCCTGGCCATAGCAATGAAATAAGTAAAAGAAATAAAGGGCATAAAGGAAGAAGTAAAACTGTCATTATTTACATTATTTACAGATGACATGTTACTATAAGAAGAAAACCCAAAAGACTGTACCAAAAATCATTAGGATAAATAAATAAATAAATAAATTTAGTTAAGTTGCAGCATACAAATTAACATATAGAAATCTGTTGTGTTTTTATACACTAACAACTAGAAGAAAAATTAAGAAAACAATTCCACTTACAACTGCACTAAAAGAATAAAACACCTAGGAATAAACTTAACCAAGGAGGTGAAAGACCTGTATTCTGGAAACTGTAAAATGCTAATGAAAGAAATTGAAGAGGAAAAAGCAAATGGAAAGACATACCATGCTCATGGATTAAAAGAAATAGTATTGTTAAAATGTCTATACTACTCAAAGCAATCTACAGATTCAATGCAATCCCTATCAAAATACCAATAGTATTTTTCAAAGAACTAGAACAAATAATCCTAAAATTTATATGGAACCAGAGAAAGACTCTGAACAGCCAAAGCAATATTGAGAAAGAAGCACAAAGCTAGAGGTATCACAATGCCAGATTTCCAGATGTACTACAAAGCTGTAGTAATTAAAACAGTATGGTATTGGCACAAAAATAGACACATAGATCAATGGAACAGAAAAGAATCCAGAAATAAACCCATGCTTATAAGGTCACTTAATCTATGACAAAGGAGACAAGAATATACATTGAGGAAGAGACCATCTTTTTAATAAATGGTGCTGGGATGGAGCTCCTGGCTGGCTTGGTCGTAAGAGTGTGTGACTCTTGATCTCAGGGTCATGAGTTCGATCCTCACTTTGTGTGTAGAGATTAAATATTTTTTTTAAATAATAATAAATGGTGCTGGGAAAACTAGATAGCTGCAGCCAAAAGAATGAAACTGGACCACTTTCTTACACCATACACAAAAATAAACTCAAAATAAAGACCTAAATGTGAGACCTGAAACCATAAAACTCTTAGAAGAACACATAGGCAGTAGTATTTTTGATATTAGCTTAGCAATATTTCTCTAGGTATGTCTGCTCAGGCAAAGGAAATAAAGATGCTTAATATCACTAATCATCAAGGAAATGCAAATCAAAACCACAATGAAGTATCACCTTACACCTGTAAGAATGGCTAGAATCAAAAATAAATAACAAGTATTGGTAATAATGTGGAGAAAAAGGAGCCCTTTGCATTGTTGGTAGGAATGTAAATTAGTATAGCCATTGTAGTAAACAATTTAGAGGTTCCTCAAGAAATTAAAAATAAAAATATCATATGATCCTGTAATCTCACTACTGTTTTATCAGAAGAAAATGAAAACACTCATTCAAAAAGATATATGCACTCCTTTGTTTATCGCAGCATTATTTACAATGGCCAACATATGGAAAATACCCATAAACAGAACAAACTGATGGTTAACAGGGGAGATGTTTGGGGGGATAGGCAAAATGGATGAAAGGTAGTAGGAGGTACAGACTTCCAGTTACAGAATGAATAAGTCAAAGAGATGAAAGGTACAGCATAGGGAATATAGTCAATGGCACTGTAATCAGTGTATAAAAAAAACTACAGTGAGATGGCTTTACACCTGTTACAATGACTATAATCAAAAAGATAACAAATAACATGCTTGTTAGGATGTGAAAAAAGGGAACATTTGTGCACTGCTGGTGGAAATATTTATAGTGTAGCCACTATGGAAAACTGTATGATGATTCCTGAAAAAATTAAAAATAGAACTACCATATGATATAGTATTTCCACTTCTAGGTATTTATTTGAAGAAAAGGAAAACACTAACTCGAAGAGATATATGCACCCCCGTGTTCATTGCAGCATTATTTACAGTAGCTAGGACATGTAAACAAAGTGCCCACTGACAGGTAAAAGGATAAAGAGGATGTGGTATACAATGGAATATTATTCAGCCATAAAAAATAGTATCTTGCCATTTGTGACAACATGGATGGACCTCGAGTTCATTATGCTACAGGAAATAAGTCAGAGAAAGACAAATACCATATGATTTCACTTTCATGTGAAATCTTAAAAAAAGCGAAAAGAATAGAAAGAAAACCAAGGTCATAGATACAGGGAACAGATTGGTGGTTGCCAGAGGTAGGGGATGGGTAAAATGGGTGAAGGGGGTCAAAAGGTATAAATTTCCAGTTGCAAAATAAATAAATCGTGGGTATATAAAACACAACATGGTGACTATAGTTAATACTACTGTATTGCACATATTGAAAGTGGCTAAAACGGCTAATAATCTTTAAAGTTTTCATCACAAGGAAATTTTGTAACTAAGTATGGTGATGGATGTCAATTAGACTTACTGTATTGATCATTTTGCAATACATACAAATATTGAATTGTTATGCTGTACACCTGAAACTGATATAATATGTATCAATTATACCTCATTAAAATAAGTGGATAAATAAATTAAAAATATTTTTTAAAAAATTTAAATTATCCAGCAAAACCAGGTTCAAGGCCAAGGTTATAGAATTAGGTTATTAACTTTCACTTTTGGAGTGTGATCTTGGTATGCAACATGCCTTTCTTGATCTCTACCCTGATAATCCTCTTACAAAAAAACAAAGTATTTGGCTCTGTATGCCTTTGACTTCCTTCAAGAATTAATCTTAACTTGTAGTCATTGAATGACTTCCATGCAAAGTATTAAATTACTGAATGGCAAACATGAAAAGAGTTGATATGCAGACAAGAAAACTAATCTTGCTACCAAACAGCATAGTGAATTTCCATAATTACTGTCTAGTAAGAAGGAAGCTAATTCACACAGCTGGAGGGGATAATCAGCAACTACACTCTAGACTCTTGACATCACAGCAGTTATCAAAGTGCAGGCATACTCTCATTCTCATTTTACTTTGTTCAAGAAAGAAAAAGCCATCTTACTTTAACAAGATGTTTTTAGCCAAGAGGTGTTTATAATCCTGGAGTGGCAGAGTTGAGGTGGGTAGCTTACAATGGGGATAGAAATGAAATCATTTAAGAACCCTTTTATTCCACTACAAATGGGGTTTAGTTATGATAGTGTATGCTCTATACATAAAATTAAAATATGTTATGAAAATCTTTAAATTCTTAGCGTCTTAGAGGATGGAAAGGATTTTTCTGTTTCCCTCCTTAATTTCATATCCATCTCCACAAGGTGTCTTATGCTTTTATCTCTGCTCTTCTCTAGAAAACTACCAAAAAAAAAAAAAATCCAAAGAGCTTAGCTCATGTAGCTCAGTAAAACAGGTGCACCAAGATAGTTTGACAAAACAAGGCACCATGTAATCTAAAGAAGTTGTTCTTATCAGCCAGCTATGTTAATTCTACTCTATTCAAAATACAGAGGAAAAAAATGTATTTTCCATAAATGAAACAGTGGAGAAAATGAGACCTTTAAGCATGTAGGAATATCTGTAAACAGTGACAAGTAAAAAATTGAAGTTAAGAAACTTTCATTATTGCTTTAAGTTTGTTTGTAATTTTAATGGAAAGAAAATGATGCAGACAGAAGACAAAATTACAGAAATCCAACTTTTTTAATCTCCTAGGCATTGGTGTGTACAAATTTATATCTTTTTTTTTTATATAAACCATCCATCTCATTTAGATACCACAGGGAAAGTAAGCTTGCATGCTGGCTGGATATTTATTTTTGGTGGGGGAAAAGTGATTTGAAAGCTGATTTTGTTAAACCAGCAGCCTGATGACTATTCATCTAGTTGGTAATATTTAGTAGTCCTGGAAAGTAAAACTAGTGAAGAAATAAGATCACTAATTATTGCATTCCACCGGTAAGTTTAAATAAGCTATTATGGGACTGACAGAGGCATGCATAACAGAAATGGTCCCCTATTACACACTTACCTGATTATGGTTTTGTTCGCCCTCCAGGGAGATACAGTTCTGAGAGTGACGTGTGGAGCTTTGGCATCCTCCTCTGGGAGACATTCAGCTTAGGGGTCTGCCCATACCCTGGAATGACAAATCAACAAGCCCGGGAGCAAGTGGAAAGAGGTAAGCCAAAGACGGGGGGTAGCAGTGTTCACATCCAGCCCCCAGGGGCGGTGCTCATGCTGAGTCTGTGGATTTCCTGGCAGGAGGAGGGGACATCCTACTTGGGTATGCAGACAGCAGAGGTGTTGATCAATCTGCTCTTGCATCCCGTGGGTGGTGCGGCCCTTCCGTAACAAAAACCAACAACAGCAAAAGAAACTTTTAAAGATTCCAGCAGTTTAAAAAGAGAGCTGTAGGCCTTCCTTCTATCCCCCCTGCCTGGCCTGACATCTGCAAGGTTGTGCCATGCACTATCTTCAAGCGGAAGAGAGTAGCTTTCCTCAACCTCCTATTTTTTGTTCTATGCCAAATGAACACCACTAATAGTATTATAAATTGAAATGTAGTTGGACTTCAGAGAGAAGTTTTTGAAAACTGTGTAACATTTCTGAAGACACCATATGCTGTTCCCAGATCAGAAACAGGAGCCAGTCGGTGCTGGTGGCCCACTGGCATGCACTGGTGTAGTCTGCAGCGCTCACCACAGAGAATGCTTTTGACACAGTAATGCCCTCGTGGGAGGCCCCTCTCGGGGAGGCTGGCTGTAGACCTGGGTGCAGGAGGAGGACTCGCAGCCCCTTCTTCCCCCTCACCGCCATCTTACTTCCTGCGCGAACACACACAGGCCCGCCCGCGCCGCCCAGCACACTGTCAGACAGCTCTGAGTTAACGATTCTTCTTGGGCTGTCAAGGAGTAAAACTCCTGTTCATTTTCATTTCACTTTTAAATTAGTGTCTATAAAATCCTTATCCTCTCTTCGTCTTCAAAAACCTGGGTTGTATAGATGATTTTTTAAAAAAAAATCTCTGCCCACAGCATCTAAAAGCAAATTCTAAAAGCAAATACTTAGAGCAACTAAAATGTGCATTTGTATGTGATTTATCTTACCTCAGACTCTGTGACAAATGAGCAAATGAAAAATAAGTTATTCAAGCTAGAAGGTAATTCAATGGCTCTGTAATACTGAATTCTGTATCAGTTGTAGAAAACAGAAGTCAATTTGCCCTGAAATGGGCTTTTTGGGTTTCTATTACACCTACAACATAAGGTACCAAAGATTACAAACTGCATGATGCCCTGTGTGAACATTTATATCTTATCTCCATTCTAAACTCCCTGTTCTGTTCCTCTTGGGTCTTCAGGGTACCGAATGTCAGCCCCTCAGCATTGCCCAGAGGACATTTTCAAAATTATGACGAAGTGCTGGGATTATAAACCTGAAAACCGCCCCAAGTTCAGTGAACTTCAGAAAGAGCTCACTGTCATCAAGAGGAAAATCACACAGTGACGGAGCAGTGCCAACAACCTCTAGGACCTGGTCCTCCAACAGAGTGACAATGTTCTTCTTGTTAACAATGAGTTTATACCACATTACCTGCAACAGTCTTCTAAGGTGATTTTTGTTATTAACTGTTTTTTTTAAGTATGTGCCACTTACAAAAAAAAAAAAAAAAAAGCAAAGGCCAATGTATTCCAGAAACAGACACTCTTACCAAGGGCTTTACCAGCTCACCCCAGCAATCCTGCCATTTCAGGCCATTGTAAATAGAAAAGCACAGCCTCTCAGTGGGAGGGACGATCAGATCTGTTTCACACCAGGACCACTGATGTGTCTCCAAGGTTTTCTACTTGAGGCACAGTTCACGGTCAGCTGTCGTGTGCCACAGACCCCCCCCCCGGTCGGTGCCGGAGCAGCGCTGGGAATGCCATTGTCTGCAGGACACGTTCCAACCAAAGGTGGCTTTTTGCTCTGCCAAGGCAAGATTCTGTTTGTAAACATCATTTTATACTGGGAATTAGTTGGACCTCTTAGGGTTTTTCTCTTCTTCCTTGCCAGAGAGAAGTGCAGTGTGAGAAACATCACACTCCTGTATTATGAGTAAGGTGGAGCTGTTGCCCTGCTCCTCGGTCCGGGCAGCGGACAATGCTGCATGGAATGTCCTCAAAGAGCCCACTCCTCGGGTTGAACCAGCAGCTCTTAAAGGGTGTTTTCTGAGAGCGGTGCCAGCAAGAAGGAAGCTTTGAATGGGAGGGGGGGTCTGGAGAGGGAGCAGCTAGAGAAAGAGAAGGAAAATATAAAATCTGCCTCCTTATCAGAGTTATGCCTTTACAAACACACACACACACACACCTTTTATCTTACGGTCTGAATTCACAGGGAAAGTTCTAAAATGTTTTCGGAAGTTCACAGTTAGAGCCTAATGGCAGCAAAAAAATGTTTTAGGGAAACTACAAAGCACAAGTCCACAGAAATAACAGCCTACTTTTGGTTAAGTACCTTCACCTCAGAAGAGACATCCCGGTATTTAATGCCCTTTATTTGTATCATTTTCCAGAGCTGAAAGAATTTTGTGATTCTAGTTTGTAAACACACTAATGTGTGTACACACATGCACGTGTGCCTACACACACACACTACCATCAAGCAGGAGTGAACGGTAAAGAAGTCAAGTGAACATTATTGAAGAAGATACCGGGACAGCTCTCCTGTTTCCACTTTCCCCCTTCATTTACCCTTACACTGCTACCAGGAAATCCTCATCTTAGCTGACAGGTATGCGAGCACAGTTCTGGAGATGCTTCATGTGAATCATATGTAACACAGAGTTAAAAGTAGGATTCTGTTGAGCTGCAACTCATTTCTATTGAGTTGCATCCAGGGAACTTACCCCATGTTCTGTATATAGTTACCTCTCAGGATAAATATGTGTGTAGGAGATGGTCACGCTCAGGGGTCAATGTGGCTTGGGAGCTTTTAATAAGTGCTCGGGCCTGTGTCCAGATAAATAGCACCTTAGTGATCGTTTGGTTATATCCGTTAGAAGAGCTTATGGGATAGAAAATTCCTCCTGCCCTCTCCAGCTGTTCGCTGCCTATGAATACCATCGCACAGAACTCACACCCAGTACCCTAAAGAGTATAAAGGATAATACTGAAGAGAACAAATGATATGTCTATCATTTCAACTTCCTTGCAAGTTTTGTACACATTTAATAATTACTACATCCAGACTAAAATGAAAACCAAGTAAACTTGCCCTCAAAAATATATTGCAATATACAAGCAACTTTTTAAAAAATCAGCATTGTCTTCCCTTCTGTCAAATATGGTAAATAAATGAAAACTTCTTTTGATGGCCTATACCGTGCTAAATCAAAGCACAGACGCATTAATTAAGTTCTATGGTCTTCCGGCACTTGCCAGCCTTCAAAGAAAAAGAGTCAGATGCGACATTTTTATCCTTTGTCAGTATTTCCAAATGAACCTCTTCGTAATATTCTTTGTTTAAAGAAAACAGCCCCTCATCACTTATTAGCCTTAACGCTAAGCTCTCAGCAAGGAGAGGGAATGACGGTTCTGGCTTTAATTTTGTGAACAAGACCTGAAGCTTAATCTTTGCATTCTGGTGTAAAAAATGAACATGGCATTGATATTTCACTCATCCAGGCTGTTAGAATTTGCAATTCATATCATAACTTTGTGCTTAAAGAAGCTTTTCAAAACATCGTGACATCTGCAGCATTTAAATTCTATTTTATTCTTTGTCCCAAAGCAGGCAGCAGTATAGTTCAGGATTAATAACTCATTGGGAATCTTTCAGGATAAGTTGTATGGAATATTAACTTTAATATAGGCACATGCATTAAGAAAAACTTATGCAAACCATTTTTTACTGTTAATTTTGTTGTGCTTGGAGCATAATTTATTCATCCCTTCTGTCACTGATAATTATTGGAATTATGTACTTTAAGAGGTTAATCCATACCCAGAAAGCACACATATAAATACTGTTCTGAATTTGCAAGTTGATGTGGGGAAAGAAGGCTTCAGAAATGCACAAAACCTTATAACTTGTTTAGTAAGAAGACAGTAACCAAAATTGCCACTAGACTGAATGTAATTAAGCCAGGTCACAAATCTGTGTTGCTAATGGATTTTCCAAGAGTTGCATTTATCATTCCTATACAGTTCCTGTCATGCTTCCTTAAATTTATGAGTACAAAGTGGGGGTGAGGGGGAGATAAGCCCAGGCAGCCTGACTCACCTGCATTTTTCGATCCTGAATCACCAACAAACCATTATGACAAATATTTAGGTAGTTCATCAATTTTCAAGAACAGAAATCTTTTACTGTTAAATTAATATGTATTGCCAATATTTGAAACCTAAAATGAATTTCGTATTCCATGCAATCTAAGGTTACTTCCCAAAGCCAATATATTCTTTCTCTTCCAGGAAAATAATAATAAAGGATTAGTAGGTTTTGTTTAAACTTTTTAAAACCAGATGCCTTATTTCAGTCCATCCCACCACTGAGTCCCCAGTGAAAGGTCTCACGTAATCATTTCCCTCTCATTGCTCATAGGCAATAAAGTTCTTCATCCATAATTCATCATTTTATCGCAAATACAATATTACTGAAACATCTTACTAGCAGATCAGTATAGACCGTGAGCCTAATTGTATTAGCTATTGTTCAGGACACATTTCACAGCTGTTTTTCATTTGAAGGTTATTTTTAAAAGAAAAGCTAATGTTTAGTCATTGAAATAGGTTTAATTTCCTTTAAGCCACAGTACGGTTTTCTTGTCTGTTGTATTTCGGTTTTGCCATATAGTTTTATATAGTTTGGCTAATACCACTAAAATAACTCTGCGAGATTGTGTCAAGAAGAAACTGTTTCATTATGATATATGCCCCACGCTGAGGATCTCGTTAGGGGGATAAACATAACACTTACAATGCAAAAATCAGTGACAGCATGTTGCTGTCATTCAGAGTTCTCTCAGACATTCCACTTTCACAGGCTTGCTTGTGACCAGCAGTGGTTCTCAGAGTACACCTGACAACCTCGGGGAGTATGCTCTGTGGACACTATTTTGTGGCCAGGGGTTTTCTGAAGTGAGATCGATATATTCTGCAGAGGCTGTTTGCCTCAGCCCTCTTCTTTTTACACATACTCCCTTGATCACACCACTGATATTTTAGAAGTTTCTTACCAACAGAACTGATTGTCCATAAGCACTGTCCTGTAAAGACCGACTTTTGTATTTAGGTCAGAGCCTTCACACAAAACAGAGAGTAACGGAAAATAAGCAGGACAACAAAGGGGTGAACATTGAAAAAGACACATCTTCTTTATGTATTAATATGTTAATTAAATGGAAACAGATTTTATATGAAAGTGAGTTTATATTACATTTCCATTATACTATTAAGTTAGCATGAAAGTTTACCATTAAAATAAAGTTACCTCTTTTATTACTAACTCTGATTTGCTTATGCATACCAGAAATTTTTTATTAAATATTTTAATTTTATTTATTTTTCTCTGTTTTGATTAGTTTCACAAGTCTGAATACAGTATTATTTGGGAGAATCCAGAATTGCATATTCATTCCTGCAAAAGAAAATAGTCATGTACAAGATTACCTACTTGAAGGAGATACTGATAGTCTTAGAGTCCCATAAAATTCTCCTTTAAAGAATAATGCTATAATGCAGACAGTGTATAAACTATCTCAGTCATAATTCAATTCAAGGAAATATTTATTACCCCTTGAAAAACAGCCTACCACCTCGTAATGATTCAAAGATTAAATTCGGAATTGTTGCGTATAGACATCAAGACTCACTCAGCTCACTAATCGGACAGAGAGTCTTGGGTGGTAGAAGAATCCTGCTGAACTAAATTCCAGTCACTTTAAACCGCACAGAAGTAATGAGCATAGCCTTTAGTTTGTCTGTTAATAAGGAGCTGAGGTGAGCATCTGCAAAGGCAAGAGAGCAAAGAACCTGTTATTCTAAGACAGGCTGATGCAGCCCCTACTGAGAGTATGGAATAATTCAAGTGGAACAGAGGCTTGGACGATGTCACTAGAAAGCCCAAGGAGACTGGTGCCTCCAGGCCAGATCCTTCCCGATAGAAAATTAAAAAGATACGGAAGCCAAAGAAGCAAAAGAGGTCACCTGCCAGTGTGTGGGCCTTAGTGTGAGCAAACCAAACACCTCTCTCCCTTGCCTTTGGAGCAGTTTTCTGTCCACGGCTCAGGGATGATGCTGCTGGACCACACCTGCACTCATTGTCTTGCTGACCAGGATCTGGGCATATATGTTCAGACATTTAAAAGACACAACTCAAAATCTCTTTCCATTTGCATTAGTTATATGTAATATTTTTTTTAAACTAAGGTCCCTCATTATTCATACTTTGTTAGAAATCTTTAGTTGCGCCAGGGTGTAGTCTCCTCAATGAGAGCACTTGGATCAGCCCTGTTTCACCTCCTGACTAACGTTAACTAATTGGCTCCTGGAGTCGTGCCCAGAGGGACCTTCCTGGGGTGAGCTATACTCGGGGGAAACACGGAATTCAGCAGGTAAGGAGGAAAATACCAGTTAAACAGCAATGTTTTTTGTCTTTGTACTAGTCATGTTTGAGGGGAAAGAATCTTAGAAACATCCGAAAGCCAGTCGTGGTGCAGCCCAGCTGAGGGGAGACGCAGAAGGCAGAGCCAGGGGTTCTGGAGACCAAGGCTGACGGGCAGGCAGGGCAGCGACAGAGTGCCCACCAAAGCCGCCCCAGGCTACCTTCCGACAAAGAAATGCAGCATCCGTAAGAGAGAGCTGGTCCTCAAACGGGGGTTTTGGGGAGCTTCCTGCTGCATGTTATTAAACATTACATTCCTCTCGAGCCTTTACATTTCTTTTTTTTTTTTTTTAAGATTTTTTTTTTTATTTATTTGACAGAGAGAGAGACAGCGAGAGAGGGAACACAAGCAGGGGGAGTGGGAGAGGGAGAAGCAGGCTTCCCGC